TCGAATGTTACCAAGATTAGGTTTGACATCAAGAAAAGTAAGTTTTGTAAGATCGCGCAGATTAGATGCGCGCACTTGTATACATGCGCACAAAATATCTACGTAATATAATGAAGAAAGATTGAACGGCGGAAGTTTATTGAAAAACAGCGAAAAAAACCGTTGATGAATTACTACGATAAATCAAACGCACAGATTAACAGAATATTAATCAGAGTAAAGCAGTAGTTATCAACCGCCCACGTATCAACCGTACGGAGTAACGATAATTCAATGTCCTACCATATCACGGCAAATCTTGTGCTCTGAATTCATTCAACGTGTTGTTCATTATCACGTTCATTGACACATTCGCCAATCGAGAAACGATTACGAAAAGGCAAGAGGGAAACTGAAGGATTTCGAGCTGTCACGTTCCGCGTGGATATTTGAACTTTGAATATACGAAAATAATCTGATATCTGTAAGAGCAAACGCAAAGTGAGAATGTCGAAGATTAAAACGTAGAGGATATTGTAATCCGCACTTCTGCGGCTTCGCAGAATGTTCAAAAAACACATCATACTCTAACTTGTCTTATCTCTTCTCGGATGTCGTGACTGTCTATTGTCTTTCGAGAAAGCAGCTACTGCGAAAGGGAGAAAGAAGAAAACTACTTGCAGTGACGCTTTGAGCTTTTCGCTATTTCCGCAATATTGGTTAGCAAGAAGTTATTCGTTAATTTATTTCGAAATGATGTTTTTTCAACTTTACTTTACCAAACCTACGCTTTCCCAAATATTAAAACATATTGTGTCATTATTAAGCTGATGTGGATGTTTAAGCAAATTGATACTTTTTTTCACAAACGCGCAATTAGAAAGAAACGAAACCTAAGCAGAAACCTTTCCTTCAGACAAACATAAAAACTTTACACATTGTTTTCTACGCTTTATTCATTTCGATGAAAAAAAAAATTCATTTATGGCTCTCTTCAATTCTAATACCTTTCTCGCAAATATATAAATCGTTGTAGAGACACGAATGAGAGAGAGCAACGACGATCAACTGCCTTTCACAAACTATTCGATCCATTATTTCAACTATCGAAACGAATGATCATGCGATACCATTCTTAAACTCATCCTGCCTTTATTTAACTTACTTACTGTTGAAAACTCATGCATATGGAGTATTCGATTTTCATGCGGGTCGAAAGAAATTCGAACCGGTTCGAATCGATGGCGTGTCTCTCTCTGTCAACTCTCTCTCATCGTGCGATAGCTTCGATATCCGTTAGAATCGAATAAATTGCACGGCCTGGACCGTAGTCGACCTTTGGCGTGGATTTTCCCGCAGAGGGCCATCGTAACCGCTACCATTATTCGCGTTTCCTCGTTCTGTCGACATTATTTATATCCGTCGTCGCCAGAGGAGCTGGAGCAGAAACGTTTATTCGTGGCCTGCGTGACTCACGAGAAACTCACTGTTCTTATTTCAGACGAAAACCAACATCTACACGGTCTGTATAATACAGGCGATAATACAGTAGATAACGTAGATTATAATCATTCTTTCTCCTGATTCTCCTTCTTAAATAAATTCTGTCTACATATGGTAGCAAGTATACATTATATATATATATATATATATACACATACATACTTCATTGTATCGTGCAGTCAATCCTCGTTCATACCTCGTGCAATCGATTATCCATAGAGATTAATCTCGAAGAAATTATCCAATTAGTCTAGATTGGATCCATCTATCGAATGGGCAACATTCGTTTATTTTTATATATGATATTGACCAAAATTTGGTCTTACTTTTTACTAATTGTAACTGGATCCTATGCTACTTTTTCTTTTTTCCTTTACCTGAATTACAATTACAATAGTATCTTTTTCTTACTTTGATGGATTTTTAACTACAAAGTTTTCGAATAAGTAACGTAAGAATTCTAACAACTCTCCAACGTAACGGATTTTTCCAAGTTTCTAACAAAAATTTTTTCAATTCTGTTGCGACTCGCTTCTCCAAGTAAATTTTAACTTGCGTCCTGTGTCGTGTATATGATAAGAAAGATGAAAAATTTCAAACATCTCGAAGCATTTCTCCGTGTAACAACAAAAAGTGTTTCTCAATTACTACTCTACAATAATACTCTACAATACTCAACAATGCAGATCGAGTTACTGATCTCGTTGAATGAATCAGAATATTTAGATTGAATAACTTTTCTCGTTAGACATTTTACATTTACAGAAAGACACACACGTATGCTGTTAAACTAATATTTAAAATATTAAATTAATTAGCATATAATACTACACGTCACGTTCACGTTCAAGAGAATAAAACGTGTCGCTTAACGTTATTGCTTTCTTAAATCATCTTGCATACCCATGAAATACATATATAGAAGAGAAGATGGAGAACAGTTACGAGTCTGCGGATGAAATGGGAAAACCAACTCGCCTTGTTCTCGAAAGAGGACGTAAAAGGAGAACGATTCTAAACTTGTCAAGAAGCATCTGTCTTATCCAAGTATCTTTACCCTCGAACGACCCTCAACATCAAGTCGTGGGGGATAATCAATGAAGCAAATCTGCTTGCCAACGAGTTATTCACGATGAACGATCGTAATTAACTGTTGTCAGGAGTGTCGCGTTGATGTGTTAATGTTAATGAGGATACGAGAATAAAATATGTGAATAATCGATAGCGAACCAAGTCTTTTTCACGTGACTCATCAATTTCGCGATTCATTCATTTTTTTACATCATCGTTATTCATTTCTATCGATAGAATTACTATTTATCTACCCTAACTGAAATAAATGATTTATATATAAACGCGTTTATTTGCTACAATGAAAAATTTAAATCGAATAATCGATTAATTCGGAATAAACGCATTTGCAATATTTCTAAACCATCTTCGAAAACAGATTTTTCGACGTAGCGTAACTCCTCTACTTCGAAAACGACGTAGAACGATTATAATTATATATAATCGTAATTTTATTCGATGCAATTATGATAATATTTCTTGTCGAATCTTAATTTTGTAAATCACAAATTGCCAACGCAAAACATGTGATATAAAAAAAATTATTTAATCGTAATAAACAATGTAATAGGCTTGCAGAAATGTAGACAATAATGTAACAACTTTTAGACTGAATCTCTCGTCTTGAAAATATACAGCAAAGTATTACGCAACCAACAGCTCTTAAAATAAATTACAGAGCACAAGAGTTGTTGGATACTCGTAGATAGATGGTACAAAAATTGAAGGATAAAATACGATAAAAGGAATCTCACCATCCTCGTCCGTATCTGTCCCTGTATACAGAAACGGCGAATCCGAACATGGATCTGGTCTCGTTTCGGTAAACTGCATAATGTTTCGTCTCGATGTTAAACGCGTGTGAACACCAAAGTGGCGAATTGACAATGATGAGACTTATTAGACCCAGGATAAGATTCGCGTACCACATGCTTGCACGTCTTGTAACTCCACTTAATCACACGTATTAATCGTTCAGTCGTTCTCACGCACGGGGGATGGATTCAGCACAACAAACTGTCATAAAGTCGCGTGTCGCGACAATCAAGATTTATCCGCGCGATCTATCATATGACAACGGGTGGACAACGGTAGTTGATCAGGGTGGTGATAGTGACAACGATCGTACAACCATCGACGACACGTGGTACGTGTCCACAAAGTTTTCTAGACACAGTGAAATGAACACTATATATATATATATATGTATGTATGTGATGGAAGATTGCAGACGAAAACGGAGCAACTAGAGACAGAAGAGAATCAGAGATGCCCGCTTGACGGACGGCCGCGAACAGACTGAAGAGTAGAAGTCCGTTCTTTCGGTTACTCTTCGCTCTCTTGACTCACGAGGGCTGCAACTCCCACCCACTGTACTTACGCGGTTCCGAAGTTGCGCTCCACTCCGGCATGCTTGCGTGCCACAACCATTGACTAAGGACAGGATAGACCTGACATACAATGTATCATGTAACATCGTAAATCATATATTTGCGGGGACGGGCGGATCAAGTGACTCCCTTACCATTTTTCTATCGTGTGCAAATTGTGCTATCGATCTTCAATATCTATAATATGCTAATGGCTTGACTTAATAAAATAAAAGTAACGCTTCTTAAATTCTTTTCTTCTTAAATTTCCCTTCTAATTCTAATTCTTCTACAATCATCAGAAATATATTTTTAATGCGTAATTGCGATGCAATTAATTTCGAATACATCTCCTCTTTAATTCGATGGAATAAAAGAGAACAAAAGTTCTGACTTTTTAAGAATTCACAATATAATTTATACTATAATCAAAAATGTTAAAAAACAATCGCGATATATTCTAATTCGCAACTTAATTAAATTAAATAAAGCAAACACGATCATTATTTTATCGCAGCTTTAATTCTCAATACCGTATATATAAATCAATTTTTGAAAATACAAAAAAAAAAAAAAGATTCAATAGTACTGCTTTAGTTCTGAAATTTACCTAGCGTGAAATTTGCAAAGTATCTTCTTGCAAATGTAAAACTGTATACACTGTTAGACGAATAAAATTGTTTCGTGTATGATACATAAAACATGAGATGAATTGTATTTCAATTTTACAAGTAATTTTAATTATAATTATAATTATAATACTTTATCTCGTGATATTTTATGTAAATCTTATACTCGTGTTAATTATCAGTGCATTATTAATATTCAAAATTATACTATCAATATTCAAAAATATGATATACAGAGGGAAAATCTATCTCGGACTGATGAATAAAACACACAAATAAGAAAATGTTGCCACTCATGGGTATGATAAATACCCACTCGTTATATTGGTGGAAAATTCTACGCAATACAATACACTACTACTACACTAGTCAATCGTATCTTTCGATTCGGATCTTTCATCCTACGAGATGAATGAATGATCAGAGGAACAAAAATATATGCAACTCACCATTTAGATGCGACGAGCATTATTATCAATGTGGTTCAAGAGAAGTCATCGTCCATCATTAAATAGGAATCGTCGAATATCGTGGGACTGGAAGAAAATTAAATTTGTTAAATTAAAACACAGAGTATTGTAATTTGTACATAAATATAATGTTAATTATTTTAAATGTTTGAAATAATAAAAAAATTGACCTCTAATAAATATAAAAGTTTAGTAATAAATAATACTTAATTCGAAAACGAAAAGTTTAAACTCGTTGCGTTTTCATTCAGATTCTATTTGTAAAGCACAACATATAATTGATCTCAAGTAAAATGCAAACTATAAAGTTACTTACGTTTCTGGCTGTTGAAACATCACTAGGTCTTTCCCAAGGAATACGAAGAGAAGGAAGGAATGAAAAACCTTTAACAAAATATCAGTTATAATTTATTCTCAATTGAGAAAAACAGTAACAATTGTTTAAAAAAAAATTTTAAAATTTTAAATAATAAAATATGAAACTTAGAACTTTGCATGAAATCTTAGAACTTTCATGATAAAAGAGATGAAAATTGTATCAAGCATTAAAAAATTATTGTAAGAAAGTTGTAATATTTAATTAGAAAAGCATAAAATCGGATTTTATTTTTTAATTACTAATGATTAAAGCGAGATATAAAGAATAAAATTAATTGAAATAGAATATCTGAATTCTTACCTTTATCTGCATAGCTTTAAAGCACCAGATTACCTCCCTTGCAACAGATTTTCGTCGTGAATTAATCTGATGGGATGAGGGCTCGAGCAAGCACGAATCAAATTTTGCTGATCTATGGAAAAGTAAATATCCAATGATATCCAATAAAAATATTTAAGTTGTATACATTTATACATATCTATGTTTGCATATACACGCTAACTTAACTTAATGAGATAGAATTGATAAATATACAATACATATATGTAATTAAAAAATTACGGTCCTTTAACATGGAATGCAATTACAACATAATAATATACCATAAACTTTTTAGATTATTCAGAGTAGTTATTATAAACATATAAGTTACTATAATCATGACTATGCTAATTGTTAAATACGATTTAACATAACCTGTGATTCTACGTTTGTAGCATACTATACAACTATACTAAATATTATAACCACAGTTAAATATTACACCGATTTGCGAATGTATACGTAATCATATTGATAAAATTTTCAAATTATTTCAAAATTTTATCAGTATGATCAGATATCACAGTTATAAATATAACATTTTACTATTCCAATTGTTCAAAATACTTCCGCGAGTCATTATATTTAAACGTACGAAAATTTATAATCTATTCATTTATAACCAAGATTGGATTATATCATACATCACATGTAACTGGCTTAAATAATACTCAATGGTCTGGATGGTAGACGTATTCCGCAATTCAAAAATAAATATAAGAAATATACTGATCGTATAATCTTTACCTGAAAACTTTTGGATAATATTTCTTCTTGGCTCCTCGCTAATAAAATCTGATGCTATCACATACGTAATTATACTTCAATACTATCGATCGATCAGAAAAAATATCGATTATGTTTGAAAATCGCGCATTATCGTTGGCGCTGTAAGCTTTTCTTAAGCGCGCGCATTTCGAAGATATATCGTCTTACTCGAAACGAAAAATAAAAATTCTTCATCTAATATTTATCATTTAATGTTTAATATTTTACAGTTGACTAAACAAAGCACCCGTAATTTTACTCTCTTTAATTATGCCGTGTTTTAATTCTAAATTTCACTAATTTAATAAATATTATTTATAATTTAGTGATGCATAAAGAAATGATTCTTCTATCTGAATAACTAATATTAACTTCCAAAATACAGAAAAAGATTAAAAATAAAATTAATTAATTTTAAACTTTATAAATAAAAATATAAGAACTTCAAGTATGTAAAGCAGTGATGTAAGCAAATACCATAATGTCAAAAAATTAAAATAGGTTATTGTGCATATACGTTGCTTTAATAATTACGTTTTATTAACATACATAAATCATATAATACATTTACAGTTGCAGTTTATATCTTGTGTAAGTATTGTCTTTATAAAAATATATTTCTTTATGAAGAATATTTTGAGTGATTGATGTCTAGGTTAGGTTTAGGTTAGTCACATATTGAATATAAAAAAGACTACTGAAAGAAATTAAATATTAATGCAAATTTTTATATCTTCACACATCAGTAATACAAATTTTAATAATACTGAATATCGGACTGGACATTATAACTTTCTGCTTTGCAATCTTTTCTTGGTGCAAAGTTTAAATCAAATTCTAATTACATGTGTTTCAAATTAACAAAAATAATTATCAATTAGATTAATAAAAATTAAAACAAAACAAATGTTTCTCTTGCATTTCTAAAGTAGATATTTTGATGAATTATCTTACTTCTATTTTTACTCTCTTCAACGTTAAACTTAAAGGTAGAATTAGTTTGTTTGTTTCATTATGATATTTATTTTTTTGAAATGAAATAAACATCGGACTTTTAAAAAAAACAAAATATTGAGAATTTTAAAAGAAAATTTTAGGTTTATAGTGGACATCCTTGTCCAAACATATACATATATGTTTGCCAAGTAATGGCACGTTAGGCAAACCTAATAGAGTTTCAAACATATAACCCTTAAAATTAAATAAATCGCATTTTCTATTTCTGATTTTTACATGAACTGCATTTAAATTTTTCCAAATTATTTCATTCGTCTATCTTTTCAATGTTGCTTATATCAATTTTTTTGCAAAAACCCAAATGTTGCAATAATTGTAACAAAAGTAGTTACAACTACAGAAACTATATAATTGAAAAACAGTTATTAGATAGTGATATCATATCATGTTTCATGAAACTCTATAAAGGATCATTTCTTCTTATCTATCGTTTTATGTTTCTTTTTTTGGTTATTTATCATGTTCTGCTGTTGAAGTCCAAAACAGATATTGAATATATTCTTGAAATTATGTTTTCACAATCTGCTTTGGACACGTGCATATTTTTATTTGTATTTGTAACATGGTTAATATCATGTTGTTGTAAATCACATTTTTACACATTAAGAATGTTTCATTTCTGACTCATTGAGATTTTTATCATATCGTCTTCTAACAATTTTATTCGACCATAAAATTAACTTCTTATTATATTCATGTTCGCTTATGCAAGTGACATTATTTGCAAGAAAATTTAGTTTTGCATTTAATAAATCTTCAAACGTAATTTTTTCTCTTGATTTCCTTTTAATCATAAAATCAAGTGCACAGTAACCTGTTGCATGTACATAATTGCAACGTTTTATTTTTCTACCCACTGTCCCACTATTTGTCGACCATTTATGCTTAAGGTTTGAAGATTGATCCGGTAAACATTTTGACTGTTCTCCAACTTGTGATGATTCGATATTTGTATCATTGCCAAGCTCATTATCCTTAATATCAATTTCTTTTCCTTGTTGTTGTGCATTAATTTCAAAATGTTTTTTATGATAAATAGTAATATTTCCCGTTCCATCATCAACTTGATAGTGATAAAATTGAGCATCTTCAGAAACAGACAATACAAATCCTACAATTTCTATTTTTCTTATTATGATATTAGGCATGTTGAGAGCATGAAATTGAACACGATTATTCTCAATATAAGGTACAAATCTACTCAATTCCGTTATCAGAAAAGGTTCAAAAATTTGTATTCTATCTTCACGATTTTGCAAATGGACCCATTCTTTGTCTTCGGATAAATAATGTGGAAAGTCATAATCTCCTTTGTACGAAACGAAATCTTCATCGATTTCTTTTGGTAAATCCGTCCAAATAGTAAGGTCAATTTCTGACATTTTTATAATTGAACTTTAAAGAACTTCTCTCAACACTATATAAACACTCTACAAAATTCACTCAATTTCGTTTTAACGAAGATTCAGAACAAAACACATGCACGCCATGAAATATGTATTTGGCGGGAAGATATCACGCAGACAAGACGCCACATAGCCGTGAAATGGCGGAACTAATTGTTCGCATTTAAATTAAAAAACATAAAAAACTATACATTGTCTTGTATAAGTTTAATCTATATTGTATCTCAAGACAGATCTTTTCAATTATGTTTATTTTCAATTTCTATTCTAAGTTTGAAATTAGTTTACGAAAAATGAAGTCAAAAAATTAAATCAAAGAACAGAAGTAAATTCTTGCTCATGCATACAACAGACTTGTTGTTAGTCTATATAGAAAGAAAAGGAGAAAACACCTCTTAAAAGGATTTTTTGACAAATGAAAATTTAATGGTAGAATTAATCTACTACCGATAAAATCAAAAAATCATATTAATCGAAATAAGACGATAATTTTTGAAAAACAAGAGATTGTTTCTGTGCAACATCGAAATTTTTACATAATTAATTAATTTCACACGATAAATGTACTTTACTTTTCTTACATGTTGGCGCTAAATGTCGTCAACATCGTGTGTATTAATGAATTTATAAAAATTATTTACTCGTTTCTGTTCAGAGTAAATAAAACGTAAAATGAAAATTAAAAGTTTAAATAGGAAAACACTATAAATGTTCCCACATAATATTTATTTATTACCTTTCATTTTAAAAGAAAATATGGCTGCTTTGTGGACATTGAAATACTGCCACGTTAACTATACTCGATTCAATTAATCACCATTTAACGCGACAAAAAAAATAAATTTATCGGTATATACAGGTCGAATATCGGTATAAGTCACACAAGAAGTAAATTAAATTATAAACTATCAGAAAGCTTCACTGACTCACATTGTTCCCACTATTCAAGTAATTAGTTACATTGAATTGGAGCAGATTTTGGACATTGTGGTGCCATCTGTTTGTAATCTATAGGTACTAATTAATTTTAAAAATAATTTTTCGTCCATTTTACGATTCAAAAAAGGATGTAGAAAAAAGGGTTGAAAAGTTAAAAACATGCAATGAAGAAAGTTTACAATTTAATTTTTTCAATTAGGTTTTTTTCAACTGGAGAACGTTTATTTACCAGTAATTGGTACCAGGAAATTACGATAGATGGCGATACGACGTTCGAAACGGCGCGTAACTGTTGAAAATACTAATCAAGAGGAACAGTCTGTGAATTTTCGTGATTGAATCATTAGTTTTAGGTTAGATTTTGCCTAACTTTTCTATATTCCATTTGCCTTACAAAGTACTGAGTAACAGAAATTTTCAAATTTTGATCGACACGGCGAAACATTTTCACGTAGCGTTTAATTTCTCGTAAATTACATTTGATACCGGGACCAAATATTTCGCGGGTATCATCTTTGTAATATAAATCGAATGCATACTATTGACGCGTAAAACTAAATAATTAATTATACTTGTTTATATGAAGGTAGTTAATTTTTTCATTCTGTTACAGTTAACATGACGCCAGTGTTTGTGTGCACCTGTAGACTGAAAAAAATTTCATTTGTGAAAAGAATTTCAAGGTATTAATTAGGATTGCGATCTTCCCATCCTTCATTTCGAATTGATCTGAATTTCAAATATAGTTTAACAAGAACTGTACTTTATGTATATAAAAGAATATACCGGTTTATCGAGTAGATCATTTGAATGTGAAAAACATGCGTGTAAAACATTTTCATGTTCTTTTCAACTTTAGTGGAATGTAAAAAAATAGCAAGAGATATTAGACAGACACTGTAATTATAAAAGTTCATACATTACTCGGTTTAATTATATTCCGTTTTGCTTGTAACTGAAAGTTTGATCTATTCTTTATTAACTGAAATATTAGCATTGTAGTGAAATGGTGGAGCAGAGGGATTTGTGGCACCACAGACAAAGTTTGTGATACGACACATAGTCATTATTATAACGTATACTTTATAAATTTTACGCTGTTAATTTGCATTTTCTACGCGCGTATATCATCTGTGATGCTTTCAGTTATGCTCACATGCTGAACGAGTGTTCAATTCAAATTCGGGGCGTAGTTTGTGAAATATTTAAGCAGGCATTTTTATGAGTGAAAAGGAACGGAGAAAGGAAACCAAAGATATATAGAACCGATGCCATAATTCCGAAAAGTCGTAAATTAATATTGTAAAGTTAATATTTTTGTAACAAATTACTGCAGTACCGATCTATCTGAACTATCTGTCGGTAAAAATCAATACTAGAGTTATCGTCAGTATTCTTGTTCGCCGGCAAATGGCACCACTTGTTCAAAATCTTTGTTCCAATTCAATGTAATTAATTAATTATTTAAACAGTGGGAATAATGCTTAACGGGGAAGTTTTCTGCAAGTTTATACTTTAATTTATTTCTTGCATTGTTTACATCTGTCGCTTGTAGGCGGATAAATTTAATATTTCAATTACATTAAGAAGTGATTAGTTCCATGGTTCCATGGTTCACCAGAACGCGGCGCTAGTATTTGAATCGATAAATCGATGAATCGATCTATGATATTCATTTGCAAATGAAGTCAATTCTGAAAATTTATCTGTCAGCGTTTTCCATTGTGTTTTTGAAATTTGAGCACCCTTTCAGCATCCTTTCTGTGGTAAAAATTTACAAATTCTATTCAATAGATCGAAGCATATTTGATGAATTATACATATATTATAGCGATTTATGATTACTGTGCTTTTGGAAAATATAAGGTTAGTTGATTTTTAGAAAAACAAAATCATATTTTTACGATCCGAGGACATTATATTCTTAATAAGAATAGTTTTAATAATAGTTTTCGTATGAAATCGTCTAATTTGTTCCAGTTAATTTCATAATTTCATACATGGTTTGCGATATATTGTAAGAAATTCTTTTCTCTGTCTGTTATTTTCAGTTTCATAAGAAGATGTAATTTTAATGTACTTACTGGGCGTGATAGCGGCAAGCAGGTTAGGCGGTTCTTAAAACGTAGAACGTGAGAAATCATTGTACGTTAGATCTAGTCTATCTTTCAATGGTTACTGCAGAAGCTACAGAAGCAAGAAAGGGGCAACAGAAGCTAAAGAAGTTAGCAATTGACGAAAGTATGCAATTCAAAATTCTTGCGGTATTTTTACGTCAGAGGGATCGTTAAACATAATAGAATTGTATTTATTTGTACTTGAATTTTCCAGCCAGTCGCTGTTAAGTCGTTCGATTCTGTTAAGAATAAGAAGATGCCTCGTGTTACTCCAGAAAGTAAGTAAATTAAAAAATAATGTACATCGTAATATATTGTAACCAGAATGAAATTTATCTTCGATGTGACATATATGTATTTTAAACAGAGAGTATTAAATAATTAGGTTATAGAATATGTAAGAAATACTTGTAAGAAAGAGTGATGTCATGTTATTGATTTTACGTTTCGGAATATGTTCGTTTTTTTTTTTTTTTTTTTTTTTTTTTCGAAATATGTGTATTTATATGAAATAACTCGAATAGAGAATGAAAGAATTTATTTGTCATACATACACGTATATATGTATACATGTACATTATGTATTTCACAATTTTTGATTTACGTTTTAACGTTTTACATATCACGTCAGAAACGATGAAAATTACACAAGTGTTCAAGTACTCGCTGTTTAGAAAGGTGTAGTTATTTTATTAATGTGAAAATAGGTATTGAAGAGAATTTCTAACTTTTTGAAATATCTCTGGATTCTAGTTTCACACGATCAGATTGGCCTGCTGTGTTTCTAAATTATACGATATTTACAGACGGTTTCCTAGAATAGATGTATTACCTAGAAAAGAAAAAGAAAGAAATGAACGCTATTATTATATCGATGAATTTTGACAGAAGATATGTACATGTGT